CTATTTTCTCACCTCAGCCCCTCCATGGTTGGGGGTTGTGGCCACACGGCTTTGAGGTAGGTCGAGTATATTAAACACAGCAAAGAAAGCGTTTCTTTAGTTTTATTTTCTAGAGTACATTGTTCGTATCAATTAGATCTCTGTTGCCGAAAATCCGTGATTAAAGATCATGAGAACTTGCTGGCGCTTCGTTTAGACTAAATAATAATGGTGTGATAATGGTGAATTTTACTGTATAAAAGTGTCATTTCCGGCCATCTAAAGGTACTATTTCCTCATATTTTCTAACCTTGGCCCTAACCATGGTGGGGTTGAGGTGGTTGTGGACTCTCAGCTTTGAAATAGGTACCGTAAAGTAAATAAATCAAAGAGAATATTTATGTGTACATTACACCACTAATTACATCTATGTGGTTGCCGAAAATCGCTGATACATTTGACTATATAATGGTGATGTGATGATGAATTTTACTATATAAAAGTGTCATTTCCGGCCATCTACAAGTACTATTTCCTTATTTTTTGCACGCTTCTCTACCTCCAAATCCTGCATCCGCCCTAGTGTTTGGCCGACAGACAGTTGACCGAAAGAACATTCACCGACACCGGAATTTGCCGACACCAAATTTTGCCGACAGGACGTTTTGACGACTGGACTTTCGCCGACAGGCAATTCGCCGACAACCAATCCATTTTGCTGACTATATTTTTTTTACAATGTTGTGATTGACGATTCGTCGACAGATGTTTTATTTTGTGGAGGACTGGTAGTCATCAGCGACTTTATTGCAAATTTAAGGAAAATTGAAATGTTCAATATATTTTGAAGTATTACAAATATAATATAGGCCTACAGTAAAGTTAGAATATACAAGTAGGAGGTTCAAAAAATAGCAGCACAGGCTGAATTACAATTTATATGTACGATACAAATTAGGCAAATCAATAAATTAATGGGCATATACAATTCAATATAAATGAGGAATTAATCAAGTTAGCTATAGTCCTATACAAATTGAATAAAAAGGGAAATTTGATTAAGTTTTTCTGTTGGGGTGGGGGCTTTGATTTAATAGCGAATCTGTTAGTTAGTAGTGAAATTAAATAACCGAATAAAATTCAAACATCTAAATATGTCACTTGTGAAACATCCGTCCAATAATATGTTAAAAATGTAGGCGAATTGTCTGACGGAAAATTGGCTGTCGGAGAAACGTCCTATATCGGCAAACTGGCATTCGGCGAAATGTAGTGTCGGCAAAATCACGTGTCGGCGAATGGTATTTCGGTCAATAGTCTGTCACGTCCATTAACCTATAGCAATTTCGCTACAGTATATTAGATTGCTATCGTGAATTGATAATTATTTAATGTACACTATACCGCGAGACCCAAATTAATAATAAAGATGTAAATCCGCCGTGCACAGTAACGTTTTGTGCTTCAACATTGACGGTCATTCCAATTTTCCCATCTGATTTGAAAGTGAGTGTCAATAAATACTGCTGCCTTTCGTTGACACTACAAAGTTAACAGTCGGAATGAATGTTTCTGGAACTGTAGACACACTGGGGCTGTACACAGCTCGTTGGTTAGTGTCTGGTGTTGGTATCGTTGCGAACTTCGTCGTCATATTTGTGTTCCTTTACAATGGGATTTATAAGAAGTCTCTGTCGCTAAAGTTACTTCTCCATCAGACCCTCATTGACATGACTGGCTCTTTGGTGTTCTTGATCTTCTACAGCAATGCTCCTTCTGGCACTGACGGAACAATATTCTGTAAGTTTCGAAGTCTGTTTTGGTACACAACAGCAGCATCGACATACAACCTCGTTATGCTTTCTAGTGATCGTTATGTTGCAGTTATACATCCAATTATTTACCGCCGGAGATCCTTAAGCATGACAGTATTATACCTGTCCTTAATGATTCCACATTTATTAGGATTTTTTCTTGGCGTTCATCTGTTTCTAAAAACTGAGGAAGATGAAGGAGTATGTTATTATAAAGTTACACCTACAGAAGTTCACTTCACAATCTTTTTATTTACCATAAACTTGCTGGTGCCAATTATTATCATGGGAATCTGCTACGGCAGCATCTTATGGAAACTACGAAGACAATCAACGGTTAGTAATAATTTGACAACAGGCTCACAGTCAAGAAAAAGTAGCCTCATCATAAGGGCGGAGACGAATCTATTATTCACACTTACACAGGTTACACTTGTATTTCTGATAACAATGGCGCCGAACTATATTTACATATTAGTTTATAAAGTGTGTAGATGTTTTGAACCGAACTCAATTCCTCATAGGGTAACTGAATTGTTGACTGCTTCTAACTTAACCATCAATCCATTTATATATTGTATATCGTTCGAAGAGTTTCAACGCGGACTTCGAAAGATCATAAATGCAGTAAAGATTGGAAAATCGCCAATGCAGTAAGGATAGTTAGAGTGCATTAGCTTTTTTGTACTTCATTTTCCCAGATTAATTTCAACCTTGATTTGTTATCCAGCCGAAGATTAATCAGCATTAATAATCAAAACATGATAAGCTTATATATGTCAATTAGTGGAGAGAGTAAAGCTAAATATCGTCTGTTTAGGTAAGCACACCATCATGCAGAGCATTAATGAAATTAGTCAGCCTGGGGTGACAATGTCCCACACTGTCACTGTCGATACCAATAGTAGGCTAGGTCTACTGAAATATTTAATAATACTATCGGTCATGCGGTAACAAAATTGAAAATTTTAATTCCACATTTTAATTGATTAGTTTATATATTTAAGTAAGATATTATCTTAAAATTAAATTAATTGAAACAAATTTCTCCGTCGAAATTAACTTTCCTGTATTCTTTTGCATAAATACTTATTTTTTTAAATTAGCATTAACAACAAAACATAATACATAAGTGAAATTAAAACATTAAATTATTATCTTTTTTTAAAATGCATTGATGACACATAACATATACAAATCATAAATACATTCGACAAATTGAATTGGAAGTTCAAAAAGAAGGGGAAAAAGGACAAGTTAGGGGTTTTTTTTAGATTTTACCACAAATAGTTGTTTTAGAAAGTCCCACTTTTCATTAAATATATCACATTTAAAGTTTAGGTCAAAAATAAATCTATCAGTATTATAACTCTCTAAAATGTCATGTTTGATTTAATCAAAGGTTTGGAATCAGCCATCTTACTGTTAAAAATCGAATTTTTAACCAATCGTATAATAAAATTAATGGCAGCAATTCATAAATTGACTGGTAAGCAATATTTATGTTTTTGTAGTAAAATGTCTGTAAAAATCGGTAAAAACTGCCTTTTCCGATCTATTTCTCATTGGAAGCTAATCCTTTAAAATGAGCTAGTCTCAGATTTTACCTGACTTTTTTAGGTATTTTTCTGTTTTTACTTATAGTACATCTTTTACTGTCAGCATTAATATTTATGTTCATTCCTTTGTAATAATAATAGTATATAAGTATGCTTTTAATGACTCTTAGTAAACACGTAATTAATTCTGTCAAAATGGTGATAAACACATGACAACCAGGGGTTGCGCTAAGGTTTGACGGACTGGGGTCCGATGTCTCCGACAGATGGGGTGGGGGGGGGCTCTCCGACGAGAGCGTAAGTGGATCAGGTCAGGTGTCGCTCAAAATCCTTCGGATACGATTAGGGGCGTAGCTATAACAATTTAGGTGATTCATTGGCTTTTTAGGGCATACTAATATGTAAAAAATACATATAGGCCTAATTGTATTTTGGTTACTCCAGACGGGATGGGTAGAAGCTCTCAGCGACGGGAGCCCTCCCACACTGGCGCCACCCCTGATCGTAAGTGCAAATATTCAACGATATGATATTATTATCCGATTATGTAATGATGTGATAATCATCTTAATCTTCTTCGTATTTGTCTGGAAAATTCAATCCATCTTCGTTATCTTGGGAATTTGTTAAATTAAAATGTTATAGCAAAATTAATTATAATGCGCGTTGGATATACGTTATGCCCTATCACGACATGTAATCAATATACCGGTACTCAGTAAGTGGGGGGAATTGCAAGCTAATCTACCGGGACTCGAACTCACGTTAGCCTTATACCACTTAGTCAACAAAATAATAATGTAATGTAAATGTAGTTGGATTTCATTTGATACTGAAATCTCAAAGCGTGGACTACTTCATACAGTAATTTGATTCCCCTACTCTACGGGTCTGAGCTACACGGTAAACCGGTACCAGCTACTTTCGTCTGACCACAACATCCACTTGCAAATAGCACAACATTATATATATATATACATATACATATATATATGTACATATATATATATATATATATATATATATATTGATTTATATATATGTATTTATATATATATATACAGTGCTCTATTTTTTCAACATAAGAAAATACCAAAGGCTTAAATCAATTTAAGAGGATCCTCAAAGGATCCTGGAGAAAACATGGTGTGTGCATCAAAACTACTTCCCAGGAACCAGAATCTTGGATAGAAACATGAGTTTTTTTAGCTCCAAATCCTATTAACCAAGTAAACCAAGTAAGTAATAGTGGAAAGCCTGTGTTTGAATTAAACAAATTACAAAACATTTTACCATGGATGAAGAAACTCCCAATTACCAGAGTCTTTTATTATTCACTCTCTTCCCTACAATTAATACATTTGATTTTGTTATGATTAAACCTTATACCTATATTATACTAAAATCATTTGCAATGTCTAACATGCTCTGCAAATCATTGGCATCGTTTGCTGATAGTACGACATCATCTGCAAAAAACTAAACAGCCCATTTGGTTTTTTATTAATGCAAACTCCAAATTTGAGCGACCAAGAAATTTTGCTAACTCATTAATGTATATTGAAAAGAGTATCAGTGACAAAACACATCCTTGCTTTTCACCTTCTGTAACTTCAAAATAGTCAATTTCAACTGACCCAAATTAAACTTTACTTTAAACCTTTTCGTATAAATTGTTTAAAATTGACCATACCTTTCCTTTTATGCCAAAATTCCATGCAATTTACACGCCACACGGTATCAAAAGATTTAATTACCAGATTAGCAAATTAAGTTAAAAATTAGGACTCTCTGTATAACTTCTTTCTTTGTAAAACAGTGTTAAAATGTTATGTTTATGTTTATATTTTCTTCTCTTTTTATAGGTCGAAAACCCCTATGGAAACAAGCTCATAGAGCTTATAGGGTTATCCTCTTGCTCTCATTTTTGTGTGTTTTTATGCACTTGTTTTTTGTTTTGATATTATAATAATGAGGGCAATAAGTAATAAACAAACAAACAAACAAATTAAGCTTTTTTTTTTAATATCATTGCAGATATAATCACCAGTATAAAGTGTAAAAAGAATAGGTGATAGAACACATCTGAGAGAACGTACAATTGGGTTTCATTTCGCCAATCCCAACAAATTGTAATCTGTCTCTTGGGTAGCTAATTAACCATAGCATTATCTTAACGTTAATATTCATTTTGTTGAGCTCATCTAAAAGTAAATGAGACTGAATGCAGTTAAAAGCGCTGAAAAATCTATGAATGTTATCTAATTTAGCTTTTTGGGGTAGATGTCTATAGGCGATATCGGTATACACTGCATCTTCTACTCCTCTGTTTGGTTTATAAAGCAAATTGCATATCATTATTTGCCACACCATCATGAGATTAATTAAATTAACTTTTATTTATAAATTAAGCATGATCCTTTCAAGACATTTCATAGGATTTGATGCTAAGGCCACTGGACGATAGTCATTGAGTGTGGAAATTTTATTAGATTTTAGCAGTGATGTTATAGCTGATGTTTTCCATGTTATTGGTATAATTCCAATATTCACTGTACGTTGAAATATTTTTATTAAATATTGAAGCAATTCAGCACTCTATTGCTAACCCCATCTGGTCCAGTGGCCTTGTTTATCTTAACACATAAGAATACACGTCTAACATCCATCTCACTAATACTTATTTCATCGTTGTTTTTCTCATTATGTTGATTCTGATTTAACAAAGACTTGGTTATTGCACGTATGTTTTCACTAAAATCCACTTCGTCCAATCTACAATAAAATTCATTAACATCATTGGTAAGATTAGCATTAAAGTTGGCAAATGTTTACCTTCCTAAATTTAAAATTAGTCATTCGTTCCATTGCCTTTCAAGCTCCACGAATATTATCATTTCCAAGCTTCTTTCCATACTTTAACCTTCCTAACTTTATCGATCTATTAATTTCTCTTTGTCTTTCCTCAACAAGGGTAGGCATACTGTTCTTATCAACGAAAGCATTTTGTTTTTCTTTAAGTAATTTTCTAATTTTTCTTGTCATCCATATCTTATTATTTGGATGTAACTTTTTAGTTTTAATTAGAACAATATTATCAACACAATATCTTATGTACTCACACATTAGCAGTGGCGTATCTAGGGAAGGGCGCGGGGGCCACAAGCTCCCCCAAAAATTACTCTCCCCCCCCCCCAGTCGCCCCCAAAAAAATCACGGTCAAGCAATTAAAAATCACATAAAATCATTATATTTTGCGAATTAGCGCCTCTCGCATCCCCATCAGACAGCCCCCACCCCATTTCAAAACTTCTAGATATGCCACTGCTAATTAGTTACACCTCTCATCTAAATTACATTTTCTAAAACTGTCCAGTCTGTGCTAGGCTACAGGAGCACGTCCTAAGTTAGTTTAACACAGCATCTGTCCAAGCTCGATATTTGATCGTCATTGGTTTGCTCTGTTTCACGCATTGTCTGTTGTACCTTCATGGTAACATGCATGCAGTATTGTGATCAGACGAACCAAGTCGGAGAGCTAATTTGTTACTGTATTTGCATTTAATATAGCTATTTGTCTCATACTGCAGTAGTCCTAGTTGGTTGATCAATTTATTGCACATAGTTAGGGTACTTCAGAGAGTGAAGACTCCAAATAAATATAATATATATGATAGACAAGATAGTGGATTGAAAAAAGAAATCTTTGGCCTACTAACTTTATAAAGTGGAATATGTTCTCTCATCTTAATTTAATTGTATTTATATGAAGTGAAGACTACAGATAAATTAATACAATACAGACGATACAAAAAAGATAATGAATTAAAAAATAACACTTTGACCTACTAAACTCATGAATCTTAATATAATCTTATTTACATTAAGTGAATACTACTGAATAAATTAATACAAAGCTTATGGTTGAGAAAAGCTATAATGAAAATTGATGAACACTTTGGCCTACTACAGTAAGCAAATAATTGGAATCTGTTCTCTCATCTTGATTTATTTTTATTTACATTAGGTGAAGACTATGGATAAATTAATAGAATACATATGGTAGAGAAAAGCTAATGAATTGATAAAGGGGCTGTTTTTGAATTTTGAAAAATTTAGGGGGCGTGGGCCGGCTGGGCCCCCTTGAATCTGCCACTGAAATACTCATCATAAAAAGTTTTCCAATTACCCTGGTAATTACAATCGTGCCTGCTTATATATTTTGTGCAAACTAACATTCAATTATTTACTAGCATTATACCCATGCTCCGCACGGTGTTGAATGAGTCGGGGAAGGTGGCGATCATGTACATTGTTGAATGGGGAAGTTGAGGAGGGAATCGTTGTGGATGTTATAGTTACCATAAATCTCTTTATTTTTCTGAAGGACGTCTTTGTAGTTAATGTTTTGACTGTCTTTGCTGCACACTGTAGTCCTTGTGAGGAAGGGTGGATCCAGAATGTTTCAAACGGGGAAAGGGCCCCACACAGTTTCAGAATAATTGAATATTAAAGCAAATAGCACATTGCATTGAAATTTTTAAAAATTAGTGGCAAAACGGGGCAGGAGCCATTCACAGTGACGTCCATCTCACCTGCTGGATTCCCCTGTTGCTTTGGGCTACCCTCTTGTAAGTGAAAGTACAGAAATATACAGTAGGCCTAGCCTGGGCATGAGAGAGGTGTTTGTCTTGAATCAAGGTGGATGCATGTAAAGGCTTATCCGAACTACACTTTTTTTTTATAAGAACCAGTAAAATTTTGCCCAGGCTCCGTGTTCTTATTTTTTGGCTGATTTCAGGCTTAAAATGTCCCTATTTTGTTCTTATTTTACACACTTTTCAAAAACAGAAAATTATATTAAACAGACGTAGTATACTACTGTAGATAAAAATGGCCCCTGAAAAAAAGGCACCAGAAAAAATGGCCCCAGAAAAAAGACCCGGTAAAAAATGGCCCCAAATGACAGTTACCCCTACTGTACTGTATTAATAGAAGGTAGGCCTATTACATAGTCACAACTACTGCATATAAGGTACAGGTATATATTTTTTTTCTACTTAAAAAAAATAATTAAAAAACCTCATTTGATATTTTACCTCAGTCTCAATTTGTTCTTATTTTGTTCTTAATTAAGCAGTTTCAGCCTCAGTGTTCTTAATCTTATAAAATGTGTTCTTATAAAAAAAAAAGTGTACTGACACTCAATCAAAAGAACCCGTAAAAACATTCTCCCAATATGTCTTGGAATGGGTACCCTTTAAAAGTTGTTAACAATGTACTTAAGAAATTAAATGAACCTAAATGTATACATAGGCCTACTGATGATAGGCACCAGTTAAGTGTGTTCAGTAGTAATCAATTAATATTAACTAACTCTGACACTAATTTGCTATTTAGTTATTGAATCCCAACACGATGGCGTGTATTTCAATACTTGGAGTATGTATTATACTTTCTTATCTGAGATTAATCAGTGGACCTTTCGGTTTCTCCCAATATGTTTACGTACATTCAAGGTATTGATTGGTGGAGCTAGATTGGTGACCCTATCTATCTCGACCCGGATTCGAGAGATAGATCTAGGCCTATCTCTGATCGACATCATGTGCTAGGCCGCGCCTAGCCCAGAACCAGAGCGTAGGGCTGTGCCTAGCCTAGCTAGGCCTGTGCCTATAATAAGACCTGTGGTAGCTAGCCGGTATGGTTAGGCCGAGGTTATATCAAAATGGCTTGTGCCCAGGTGTATCTTTATTATTTTTTACCTGATCGACTTCTAAAACATGCCATTTATTGCTGATGTGCCACAAAACTACAATAATATCCCGTATAATGCAATGGGTACTCCGAAGAGGTACGGGAACATGCTTGTCACCCATTTTATTGACGAACGTGAGAAGGACTGGGCGGTGACGTAATGTTCGGTGCGAAACATAAACTGGTTCTTTTACGGCCTGACCCGATAATTTTTAGACCAAGCATTGCAGTACAGAATAGATGTGATTAATTGTATTTCTTGCGAAACATGGCGAAACAGGTATTGATTTTCGGTAGTTTTTTTCGTTGTTATCCAATCAGCCTTAAAAAATAGCGGAATTCGTGACATTAAACACTAGAAGTCCCAGTGTATGAGAAATATGAGCACATTCCTGCCAACGGTTTCAGAGGAGATAGGGGAAGTTACGCGGTGGCGATTAGCAGAATATGATTCTACAGATTCTGAGCTTGTTAATTGTGACGTACTCGAACCATTAAAAAACTTAATACAGTCACTAATTTAGTCTTTTTGCATGTAAAGTACTTTTAAAATCAATCAAGGATTTCATTAATTTTTCCTCGGTTTGTATTTCATTTTTGTGCAAGTATTACGATTACACTAATTGTGAGTGGAAATACTACCGGTACCGTCTAATTTACGGTCAAACAGCTGGAGGGAAATTGAAGCTCACAAAACATGAAGGTGATTCATGACAGTCATTCTTAATTGTTGTTCTTTTTACACTCGCTTGAAAGTGGTGTTTTAGCTATAGAAGATTTGAAAAGGGGAATGTCCCCTGTCCCCCTGTCCCCCACCGATCGACGCCCATGTCCTCAAGTTTATGACCTCCCTTCAGTATTAAGTGCTTCATTTCTAGCCATTAGTCCGGGTTCTTGACCTTGTCTTGGGCGATTTCCCGTTAAAAAAAGTGAACATATTAGACAAATTGTGTACAATGTGGGCCTACGGTTTGTCCTGATCCGTTTGATGAAAAGTAGAATATCACCTACATGGTATACTGTACTTTAACAAGAACATTATGACAACGTTTTTTGTACGCAACAACTGCTTTCTTTGACTCACTTATTACTTTCTCGATGTTTGTTATTAGCTTTTTAAAAATTGTAATGTCCTTTGCTCTGTTAACATTTGTGCAATTCTTTTTTTTATTATTATTATTTTTCAGAATTCCAATGTCCTTTTTTTGTCTCTTCTATTTTTTTTTTTATAATCCTTTTTTAGATCTGTGCAATGCTATTGTTGTAAATTTTATACTGAATTTGAGTTTCTATATCTTGTGCAAAGTTGTTTTTTTTTGTAATTATTTTTCTGAATTTAAATTTTTCTTTTTTGTCTTTTCCATTTTTATATAATGAATTTTTAGATCTGTGCAATGTAATTTTTGTAATTTATTCTGAATTTCAATGTTTTAATATAGACATATTATTCTTTATTTTATATAATCACTTCTTAATGTAGGGTAACTTTTAATAGGCTTATTTACCTTTTTATATTCGGCGTGGCTAGAGATAAGGTAACGTATCGCAACTTCCGTTTGTTGAAAGTACGGTAAATTGTATTACGCAATAAAATGCCGCCACTGCGTGACGACATCGCTGGTTGTGAGGCTGAGTTGTTATAACCATAGTGGACATTTATAGCATAATTATGTTTTTGGGCGTAATTTGGACCCCCGTAGCATATAGCATACATTATTATACCACGCATAATTCATGAAAACTTACGTAGCATAATTAAATTTAGAATTGATGTAAATTTTATTGGGCCTAAATTTAAAAAAAAAATCCTAGCGTGCCATTTCTACAGGTAGGCCAAAGGGATCTTAGCACCCCATGAAAGTCTGAATAGGCATCTCATCGGTCACTCTAGGAATTTCGACCCAGATGCTGAGATTTCAGCCTCCATCTCTGGGGAAATCACTAGTAATTACGCCGGAGTCAAATTTACTAGAGCGGTACGACAAATTGTGAGATGCACTCTTTGCTCATACTACCAAAAATAAAACAAGGGCTGTCATTTAAACAGAAAACATCTAAGCAACGTCAATTTGGCTAGTCATTTCTTGATCCTTATATTTCATACAGAATTTGACACTAAACAGAAAATGAAACAATAAAAAGTGTTTAAGTAAGATCTTCTCCTACTTAATTTAATACCGTATCTCCTCCTCCCGACTTTTGCCAACACTGGTTGGTAAGGTGAAACTTCCACATATTATTTATACCGTTTTAGATAAATGTTCATAGTGTATTTAAATTCCATATTTTATATGATAAATGTTGTTTTATTTATAGAAAATGTATATTAATGTTAAAATTTTTATTGGTTTTTTTTCTGAATTGTATTTTTCAGACATAGTATTTTGGGAGACCAACATAGATACCGGTAGTGATTTTAGTTTACTTTGCAGAATCTCCTCTCACATTGTTGTTCGCCTCGTTCACCCTCTTCTTATTGTTTTGCTTTGTACTATTGTGAAAAGATAAATCAACGTCAAAAAGTACAAATATAATTAGAAAATTATAAGGTAATACATTGCATGTCGTTATGTAGACCATAACAAAATAATATCTGATGAATATATATAGGCCTAATTTATGAAAATAAACTATTAAAATATAGGTGGTGGATACACTATTGGAGACTCTAAACAATTAAAAAACTAGGCTAATCTATTGCATTTAATAAGGCATAGGATGAAGAAATCAATCAAAATTAATGAAAAAATTAAAAATTCAAAGGTTCTTTATTAATATTTCTATCAATTTCACAATTCATATATTCTTTAACTCATTTTTCGATCAACAACATTCTGAAAAAGAAATTAGATTGACTAATGACGTCAATGAAAAACCCATGTTAATGAAGATTGTTGGAGACTAGATTGGCAATCCAGTGGCACGCACTATTTATTTATTTATTAAACTTTCTTTATACTGGATGGCATGCTCAATGGTCCAGTTACAGTAAAATCATAAAGATACAAAAGAGATAGGAAGGTGCAAGTCCTTGAAGGTATTTAAAAGTTATGAATAATAATTGATCTCTCTGCTATTCAGAGTTTGCCGGTTCAATAAGTTTAAAATATCGTTAATTGATGTTCTAATACTAATATCACAAAAAAGTAAAGTCCTTCCTAAGGTGTTTAAAAGAACTTCTAGGCTATTAGATAATTGGATGAAGCAGTTTGACCATACCCAAGAACAATAATCAAGTAAAGGAAAAACCAAAGATTTAGCTAACATCTTAGGAAAAAATTGAGGTAAAAAATATCTGATACGACAGATGGATACACCAATCCTTTTAGACACTTTTGAAGATAAGCTTTCAATGTGTTTACTCCATGTAAGCTGCGGGTCAAAAGTAACACCCAAGTATTAAAAATAATCAACTCTTTCAATAAAATTATTTTTATAGCTCACAGAAAGATTATTAAATTTTGAAATATTCTGTGTTGTTCCAAAAATCATAGGCTAAATTTAATCTTTTTAATGCTGAGTGTCAGATGATTTTCTTTAAACCAATTAAAAATTTTGTCAAGATTATGTTTTAATTCATTTTAAATTCAACAGTATACGGTACTAAACGACACTATATTCTGTTGAGATTGCAAAACATAAGTCATAAAAAATTAGCCTCATTTTACTAGTATAGTATACTATGGAACGCCATGCAAATAAGTAATATGGAACGCCATTTGTGCCAAAATCGATTTATACTTAAGCATTTCAACTGGGGACTGGAACCCAGTCTACAGGAAACAATGCAATTAAATGAAATCTGTAATTTAACTGTTCTCTGGTTGCATTTCGGAGTTTTGGCCAAGGATACAATAACAGTTTTATCTTATTGCTGATATAGGGTACCGTAACACTTAACCTGACCAGTGTGAAAGTATAATATAATACTCCATTAGTTATGCAACTAATAATTACAGTGATATCACTATTATGAATAATAATAATTAAATGTAAGACCGCGACACGGGGTACGTAGTGCCGTAATAGGATTAATTCATATTCAAGATAGATAAAAGTAGGGGCCTCTAAATGTTACTTCACCAACTTTACTATTCAGCGAACGATTTCACAAGACTTTATGGACAATGACGTCACATCGTTCGCTGTATTTTATTAGATGTTACAATTTACCCTACCTTTAGGAAACGGAACAGGCCCATAATAGGCGAGCATATTATGGCCAAAAAGTCCTCTAAAAATCGTCGAGGTGGCAATGGAAGTACTACCGGCTAATTTTGATATTTTCTGAAAATATAGGTCTTGAGAAGTTCAGAACTCAAAATTACCCAAAATCCCTTTGGGGGTACACCTCCAAATTACGCATTCAAAATGGCCGCCATTTTTCCGCTTTAAATTATAGTTTTAGCTATATAATATAAAAAATAACATTACTCGAATAATCATCATCAACAATTGGTGAAACTTACTCAAAATAATCGTTAATTATCGAAAATAAATCTTGCGTTAAGAAAAACTACAATTTCAATCACCATAGCAACCGTTGCTATGCAAATTTAAATTTCCTACTTTATTCATGAAATTTAAGTATACAGGAAGATTAAAGTTTATTAAATTCTTTATTTTCATAGGTTTTATGAATATGTTTAACATCTGAATTATCTATTATTATCGTAGAATAGGATTATGTAAAAAA